CTGAGCAGCAATACATAACATTTTAAATATAAGGAGTTTTCATGCGATTTTCTAAACTAGTAGTCTTTAAAAATGAATGAACGCATAATAATTATGATAGCCGGGATTATTCCTCAGTCTATAATCGCACAACCAAAATCTGTAATCGTTGCATCCCTTATCACCAGTATTGAATTCAACAAATTGTATTAAAATTTTTTGAACATGAATTTTAAACCGGTTTAAACAGACTTTTTGATGTAAATGTTAAGTGTAAGTGAAATGGTAAATACAGTACAGTAAGGATTTTCATGTGCTGTGGTCAATGGTGCTTGATGTAAAACGAATGGTGCTTTAAAAAGTCCTTGAATCTGCTGTTGATGAAAGAGCAGATCTTTTATAATAAAACCAGAATCTTTTTTTCAACATTTTCCTGAGGGGATTTGAAGTTGTCCCACTGGTTGCGTTATCTGGCTCTGTGCACCTATTGGTTTTTGGTTATACACACATTGTAATGCCAAGTACAGACTGCATGATCTTAGCTTCAATCAGTAACAGGTTTTGAGAAATCACAGGCAAATCAGTGCTCATTTAAGTGAGTAAAAATCACACAATGTGAACTATCAAAGACGATTTGAGAGAATTGCTGATGGGTCGCCGGCTCCTGTGAGAAATTTGGCTTGCTAAATATCTGGAGCTGTCTGCGATTCAAATCATGTCGTGTGAAATGTGCTCTGATTGAAAATAACCTCAGAGATTAACTACAGCCAATGAGAGAGCAGCATCCAATAGTGTGGGTATCTGCAGGCCAGCGGGAGGATGAGGAGGAGTTAAAAGCGCTCATTTCTGTTTAATTGGACCCAAGAAATTGAGAAAAAACTAGTGTAAATTTGGCAGGAGCACCTATTTCTGTTTGACATGTATCTGAGCAATACCACAACAAAATCCAAAAATTGCTAATTTCCTTTAAAGGCCAGGTGAGCAAAGATAAGTGCATTTTCTACCCCACTGAATGCTTCTCTCTCATCATGTAGTTAATAGCAAAAGATATACTGTGTGACCTTGCGTTGTTTCCATGTCACTTCTTAAGTATGTTTGGTTCTGAGATGTAGTTTGTGGACAGAGACAAAGGTATCAGCAATTCTTCCTATTCTAAAGACTTGCAGTGTGAAACCCCCTGTGGCCGATCCATCTTGGAGTGTAAACAAAGCAGCGATGAAACGCTAGCCCAGATAGTCATGCAGGGTTTCCCAAACTGTTCAGCCCGCCACCCCTAAAATAACAATATCAGCGACTCTCGACCCCCATTTTTCAAGGTGGTCAACCTGTAAATATACAAATGTTGCATGTAAACACATCTATAGGCATATATAAACCAGAGGATATTGAAAACACAAAACTGCAACAGTCTATTAACCATATAATGTATTTTAGTCATTCATTAATATAATTACATTTTAATTTAAAAATTAAAGGCTGATGGATTTTTATTTGTATTTTATTGTTGTTGTTTCTTTAACGCAACTATTAGCTATCTTCTGTGGGTTATGAATAATGAATAATGGTAATTCAAATAGTTTTTTAAAATTGAAGTTTTGGAAATCACTAAGTGACTTTGAGAACCACTATTGTACTTACTTTTTTTTTCTTCTTCTCCTTTTAAACTTAAATGTAGGAGGCATTTTTGACACTAACAGACAAAATGTTTACAGATAATTGAGATGCAACTTTCTTTTTCTGCTTGTGAAGGGAATGCTTTTTTTTTGGCTGTATAAACCCTTTCAGCACTGCTTTACCTAAACCGCTAGGAACTTATTCCCTAGTTTTTGCTAAACCCTTTAAGGTGTCCATTCTTGTCAAACAATTGAGGTTGCATGTTAACAGCAGCTAATTATGATTAGCTCTTAAATTTGAAACTATCTCCTCAGGAACTCGCCAAGCTTTAAGTCGTTTGAGGACAAGGTGGAGAACATGAAGGTTAGCTGATTCTCTCTTCACAAATACCTATTTTTGCCATGATACCGACAATAATAAATGTTTATGCTTGCTTCTTCTGTTATTACTCCATCCATCATGTGTTTTCCTGTTTTCCCTCTTAAAGTACAAAGTAATGGGCCGAGCAAACGGAGAAAATGACCATTCACCAACCAGCAACAACGCACCTCTGTGAGCAAGAGCTGACCTTTGTGATCCACTGTAACGCTCTACCCAAATACACTCCTTCACTGCAAACGAATGTACAGACGCTTTAATCAACAAAGATGCCAACATGATCACTGTAACGTCTGAAGACCGTCACCCTCGCGAATGCATTGTAGCCAAACAAAACATCCCCAATTAGCATGGTGGAAAACCCGTTTTGGGTCTGTTCGGTTTTCTTCTATGCACCAAAACTACCTTTAAATGTATTGTACTGTTTTATTTAGTCAAATGACAGGGCTTCTTTGACACTTTACAATGGTCTGTTACGATCAGCATGAAAATGTTTGCGTTGCTCACGCTGGGAATGTCAGTGAAAGCATCTACGACCTGCTGTAATGATGCTGTTTATTGTTGTTGTTACATGCTTCCTACTTTGACTATTGCACTTGTTCTTACCCTGCTTGTTACTCAGGGCAAAAGGTGCTAAAGCTTTCTTCTATTGTGACGAGTCTCGAGCACCGTCTCTGAAGCTATGTGCTCAATTATTCACATTATTTTATGATCTTGTCTTTTTTGAACTTAACTTAACTTTTAAAAAAAAACGCTACAACTGTTCATAAAGAATGTTAAAAGATTCAAACTATGCTCACCTGCCCTGTGTGTTCTCATTCATTTTTGAGTTTAATAGTTGTTGTTTTGGCCACAAAGAAAATTAATTTATTTGTTAAATGTTTTGCAGTAAATAAGATGGGTTTGTCTTCTTGGTTGCCTGTATTTTAGATTGCTGTCTCATGTAGATTTAGCAGTTTTCTCCTTTTTTTCCCCCCCTCAGAGTACATCACTGTGACTGTGATCATGAAGGCATTTGAATTTGGGCTTTGAAAATTAATTGCGAATCAAATACCAGGCTAACGTTTACTGGGGAGATGATTAAATGTAATGATTCTAATCTTTAATCCTAATATTGTATTGGGCAACAAGGTCGGGTTCACTGTGAGGTGATGGAAAACCCATTGTTACTGATTTTGTTTGTTTATTCTTTGTGCTCATGGGAAGTTTGTGCCATGATTTGAACATGAATGTTACCAATCTGACCTAATTACTGTCTTCATGTTGGATGCTTTTGGCTGTAATGTACTACACTGTTCAGGGTTTAATAAAGACCAAAAAGTCAACAGGAGCACACTAGATTGATCTTTGTCTATGCTATTGTGTTTGTTTTAATAAGCTTTATTGTAATTACAGCTTGATGGTTCAATTACAGACACCAGGTGGCGACAAAAATGTCTCTGGACACTTTAAAATCCTTCAGGCTGTTTGGCAATGTTATCCGTCACACTGCCTTTGAATCCGTTTTGTTCAGGAAGAGACGCAGAAAATGTCTAAAATGCATCTAGTCAGTTAAGGAACGATTTTGTTTATCTAAAGAGATATAAACATTAAGAGTTGGGCCTTTCACATTGTAACTATTATGGTAGCAGCAGTAGGGCTCAAATGACTTTTTTGTTCGGTGTTTATGAAGTTATATTTAGTGTAAATGTTTAAAACCATTTATATGTTTCTAAACTCGCTTTCAAAATAAATTTAGCTTTGACGTTTGTTTGAAATATACATTTGTTTGAATTTGGACTTTTCTTGAGAAACTGATTTATAAAATCAAAGGAATTTAATTAATTTCTTTCCACTGATGGTGTGTAGGTTTAATACCTAATAAATTTGTGTGTGGTTTACGTGCAATTTTCAAATAATTTCTTCGTTTTTTATTTATTGAAAAGGACGCAGAGTCTCAGACGAACCATTAAATGTATTTTCAAGAATATTGGAAATAAATAGTCTGGAACATATTTGAAGATACTTCTAGAAAGTAAGTTGTTATGTTTTGGCGGTGTAGATTCAGTAACGGTAGACATTAAATGCCTGATGCGTGTTCCCATGACCGCCAGTAAAAAAAAGCAATCGCACGCAAATGGCAACAGCAAGAGCGACCAACCTTAAATAAATGGATAGATGCAACTATAGGTCTATACAATGGGAAAAATCACTTCTGTAGTCAATTTAAGGTAAGATTTATTCATGGGAAAATGGGTTGAACATATTTTAGTTAGAAGACCTGATTTTGTTGCTTTAACTAATAGAAGATGCTCAACTGATAAATATAGGCTAATGTGTGTGTATATGTATATGGTTATATATTTCATATTGTATTGAGTTATATTATTCTGGAAGGAATTATGATATGCGTTCTTACCCTGGATGAAAATAGTGCTTTATTTTTATTTATTTTTTTAATGCAATTTTTCTATCAATAATTTGACAAAAATTGAGTACTGTGTATAGTTTGTACAGCTGAAAATAATGTACGTAAATTGTATATCACTTAAGGTCACATATTGAGATTCATATGTACTAATGCTAATAATGTGTGTAATATTGTATTGCACTCAATTGAGTGTTCACAATAAACATAAAAGAAAGACAGACGGAATGAAACCACTGCAAAACTTCAAACTCATGAAAAAATTATTATATATATATATATATATATATATATATATAAAATGTATAAATAAGTAAATATATTGACCTGTTCGTATCTAATTCAAAAACAGGATATTTGCCTTTGATCTATTTAAAAAAAAAATTCTGTCAATCAAATCTCAAAAACACGTGCCCTTGTCCACAGATTTAGCTCTGCTGAACAACATTGTTTTGACCTGTCAATCCCGTGCCCAGCAGGCAAACCACGCCCACAAGATCATGCCAGCCAGCTGGCCACGTCCTTCGCTTGTGCCACAAACAAGCCACGCCTCCAACCTGGAGTCAGCCACCAAGCCACGCCCTCTGCTAAATAAATAGAGCGAGCGTCCTTCAGGCTGGGCAATTTGGAGCAGAGGAGCGAAAGACCTTGGAGGGTCTCACCCAAAACAACAAACTACCAATGGGCACCGTCGCCTAGCGTTTACCCGACCAACCTTGCTTTTGGTGCATTACCAACATCACCAACTCACCAAAATAAAAGGTAAGTTAATGAACGAATAGTTTATTAAGTTAGAACTTTTTTTGGACAGGAAGGTGACTTATCAAGGTTTTTTTTTTTAAACTTTTTTTATTTACAACTAAACTTTACACACATGGTCAAATTCATAGCGAATAAAAGTTGTAAGAACATTATATAAATAATGTAAGGGCACTTACATGGCTACATGACATGGCTTTCTGTAAGGTAGTATATCTTATTATTCTGCTCTTCGACTTGAACAGTTTCTTTTATTGAACCAAAGTTTAATCTCTAGTCCATCCTGCTCCTCAAAGCACTGGTGTGATTAAATGTCTGCTCTGTTATATGTAGAACAGAAGGGTATTAGGTAGAAGGTCACGTGGTAAATCCCTCTTCCCATCTGCAGCCTGACATTGACGTCTGCAAGACGAAAACTACACAAACACACTTTTAATCATCAGTGTATCATTAGCAGTGTTGGGTAAAGTTACTTTTAAAAGCAATATATTATAATCAAGACACTTTTTTCAATGTAAATAAATGTGTTAGAGAAAGTAATGTGATTATGTGTTATGTTTACGTTTTTAAAGACTGAGACAGACTTAAGTTTGTAATAAACAACTTTTTTTTAAAGTACCTTCATCCAACATTGATTTTAAGCATTTATTTTAATGTGGATTGTTAGCTTAATGTTTTTTTCTCTGTTGAACCAAAAGAAGATATTCTGAAAAATGTTGATGAAAAATAGCCATAGCTGTTTTTTCCCATCATTCTTCAATGTATAAAAGTTTTTAACCACTTGAGTGCAAGTAAAGGTTGTCAGCTTTCATTGTAGTGTGAACTATCCCTTTATGTTTTGGAGTTGTCTTCACCTTGGAAACCGGGTATTTTTACATGCACGTGTGGTGAAACATGAGCTGTTCTGCACACTTGTTGCAGAGGGTCTCGGCTGTTCCCAGCAAGTGGGTCAGTGTCAGAGAATGTGGAAATCTGATACTTCAAGTAGCAGCTGTGAGATTTCATCACGTCACAGTTTGCTAGTAAGGAAGGGTTGGATGAACAGCGCCTTAGTGGATCATTTTCAAATCTGGTCATTTTAAGAATACCACCAACCAGTTGGATGAAAAAAAAAAAAATAACATGGCAGCACTTTTTCTAGTGACGCTGACAGGGTTAAACCCTCTAAATCTTTATAGGGCTGAGTGGAAGCACCGATTTTTCCAGCATCTGCCTGCCTGAGGTGTTTTCCAAGCCCTATTTAAAAGGCCACATTGTTGTGATGTCACAACTGTTTACCTCAAACACAACGACCCTCATCTAACCTGTTAATCCTCTTTCTCAAACAGGTCTTCCATCTTTCCATCTTCCACACGGTCGACCCTTTAGAGGACGGGGAAAATGGCAGCAATTCCATCCAGCGGTTCCCTCATCGCCACCCATGATTACTACCGAAGTGAGTTTAGTTTTATTTTATATCAAAATAATTCAACACAGTGGAATCCAATGCTAAATCCAACAAGAGTGGATTAAAAGTGGTAATATATACACTTAAAAAGTTTCACAATGATAAATGCGCTGCTTATTTTCTGTTAGTTACAGAAGAATATGGGGAAATCATTCTGCAGTTTTGAATTCATTTATTTAATCTGTCAAAAATATGTAATACATAATTCATTTGCAATAATAGAAGGCTGATGCTCCAGGAAGGAGCTTCAGTTATTATTATTTTATTAATATTAAGTAATATTTATTGATTACTAATATTTATTGATGTTTCAGGGCGCATTGGATCTACATCCAGTAACAGTTCCTGTAGCAGTTCGGAGTACACTGGGGAGGTCATTCCACACCCACCAGGTACAAACAAAGCATCACATCAGTACCACAATGACTGCATTACAAATACACACAATACAGTCAGCTCTCACTGTGCCAAAAGCTCAAGGTGTTCTTGCACGGCAGGTCTGGCACGTCAGGACTCTGGCCACTGGTGGTCCAGTTTCTTCTTTGGGAAGCAGAATCAAATGGGAACACCCAACGGATTTGAGTCCCAGCAGAAGTGAGTTGAGCACCTGCTGTTGTTTATTTTGTCTTAACTTTTGGTGCTGGTTTTCACACAGTGTTTTTTGTTTTTTTTTGTGTGGCAGGACTGGCACCTACACAGTGACAAACGGTCAAGTGACCTGCGTCGCTCGCGAGATTGTAATGAAGAGGCATTTGAGTGAGAGCAGTGACTCTGGGAAGGAGCCGGGTTCACCCCTGCCCTCATAAAGCACACACCACCACGCACCCCACCCTCATCCAGGAGTCACCGTGGGCCGGCGCTGGCGACGGAGGCCCTGCTTTTTTTTTTTCTCTCTTATTCTTATTCTTTTTTTAGTAAAATCCGGCTGCTTTTTACGTCATGCTATATAGTGCTCTTTTTTTTTTATTCCTGACCAAATAAACTTTGTAAAGCTTTAAAGTGCAAAAAAAAAAGGAAGCTTTCTGTATGACGAGAGTTTTAGTGTAGGTCACTGTATCACTGGGTGCACTTTGCAATTGTGTTCTTATACTTGTTATAAATAAATGACTAACTGCAGCCTAAATTATACTGTGTTGGTTTCAATTCCTTCGCAATACCATCACTACAAGGTACATTGATTATACTGAATATAATTGACAGGATCATCATGATTACAATAAACACAGTTGTATACAAGTTTTCTAAAATATTTCAATATGCAAATGAGGGATCGATTAATGAAATAAAAAAAAAAGAACACTCTTGTCAAATATAAATGTTTTTACAGAAAAATTATAACTTATTTAGGAATCTATTTTATTCATTCATTCATTTTCTTTCCGGCTTACTCCCTTTTTAATGACCAGGGGTCGCCCCAGCGGAATAAACCGCCAACTTATCCAACATATGTTTTACTGAGTGGATGCCCTTCTAGCTAAAACATAGTACTAGGAAACACACATACACTACGGCCAATTTAGCCTATCCAATTGACCTATAGTGCATGTCTTTAGACTGTGGAGGAAACTGGAGCACCCGGAGGAATCTCACGCGAGCACGAGGAGAACATGCAAACCACACAGAAATGCCAACTGACCCAGCTAAGGCTCAATCAGCTGTGAGGCGACAGTGCTAAACACTGAGCCACTGTATTGCCCAGTTTTAACATGATTACATGAAATACGTTTGTATTGTAAGTTTTCTGAAATCTTTAAATATGCAAATGAGGGATCGTTTAACAAAATGTGAGCTAATTTGGGGGGGAAACACTTTTGAAAATGTTTTTACGAAGAATTCATTTTTTGGGAATGGAGTTTAAATACTGTGAAAAGCCAGAAAAAAACACTTAATTAAGATAATTTCTTTAGAATAAACTGCATGTATTCAACAGTGAAGGAAAGAGTACTGAAAAACTATACTCAAGTACCATTACTTTCCCAAAAATGTAGCGCTAGTGAAGTAAAAGAATCTGTTATAAATATTACTCAAAGTATTGGTAAAAATAAGCTCATAATAATTTCAAAAGCACTCAAGAGTAGTGAGCATTGAGTATTACAATGTAAAAAGCTGATGCTTGTAAAGATTTTGGGCATCTTCTTGGACACTTTTAATGTTTCCAAACAGTTTGCTGCTTTATTAAAGCGCCCATGTCCTAAGGTTGTTCAGTATGATGCGATTTACTGTCTATGAGATGTTTAATTGGATAGGAATCACAGGACTGATTTTTCTAACACCCATAGACAAGAAAAAATAAAGCAGTATTTTTTTTTTACTTTACACCACTGATTATCAGTATAAGCCTTCCGTAAAAACCTACCGAATATAAATGTGAAGAAAGTGTGGTTTTTGGTCAAGTGCTAAAATGTATGGCATGTTTATTTTGAAAAAATGGCCTATAAAAATCTATATTGTGAATAAAATCTAGACACAAATTTAAAAGTTGCTATATAGAAACTCTAAAGGTATATATAGGATGTTTTTTTTTCCATTAGACTGAATAAAAACACTATGATAAACCCAAAATCTCAAAACTGATTGAATTTTTGGCTGCAGTGTCTCGCTGTGGATCGATCATATCCAGCGTCATTAGTATGGATTACAGTGAATCACTTTTAGGCTATCAGTGACTTTCATCCAAGGATTAGCATGAAACTGTTTCTGTTCACTGACTCTGCTTTTCTCCAGAGAATGAGCTGCTCATCCACAGTCTGTGCGCAAGACGTTTGGCATTAAGAAGGCTTTGGTGTGATTAAAACTCTTGTGCTAAGACAGGACACACTAATGCGCTTTATATAACACTACATCTACTGTACATGTGGCACTAAGCAACTCGAGCAGTTTTTTTCCTCCATCTGGCAGAATTAGCTTTTAGAAAGCAGCCCAATATAATAAGTAGCTGCTACATGGTCATCAGAGCAGTTGGAAAGCGCTTTGGTCAAATAAAAGGAGTGAAAAGGCAGCACCTCTGATGCCAAATCTACTTAGATCTAATTATAGAAATGGGGCATACAGATTATTAGTCACTAAAAACAGCTGTTTTATTTTGGGACAATGGCCTATATAAGGCGACATGGTGGCGCAATGGGTAGAACATTCGACTCAAAGCATGAAGTTTGCTGGTTCAAGCCTAGGCACAGACAGTTGGTGTTTCTGTGTGGAGTTTGCATGTTCTCCTCATGTTCGCATGGGTTTCCTCCGGTTTCCCCCACAAGTCCAAAGACGTGGTACAGGTGAATTGGGTATGCTAAAATTGACCGTATGAGTGTGTATGAATGTTTCCCAGTGATGGGTTGCGGCTGGAGGCAAGGGGTTCTCACTGCAGAGCCACTCGGGCAGAGCTGAGCTCAAGCAAGGGGCAGCTTGAGCTCCAGCTCCTCCTTACTTGCACTTGTTCTACAAGTGATGTCACTGGGGGCTGGGTTAGAGGTGGGGTGGATGTACGCATTAAAACAGCTTATAGGAGGAGAAGTTGGAGCTCAAGCTCCTCTTCATTGGAGCCCAAGTGGCTCGCAGAAGGGACATCCACTGTGTAAAACAAATGCTGGATAAGTTGGTGGTTCATTCCGCTGTAGCAACCCCAGATTTATAAAAGGACTAAGCCGAAAAGAAAATGAATGAATGTCCAACATTATACACTATTTAAACAATTCTCTTTGCCAGTTTTTGATTGATTGGTCAGTTTGTACTTTTTGAAGCTAAATTTATTGTACCAGTTTGCTGAAGAGGATGTCTGATGCACTGTTTACCACCTGCTATACTGAATACTTTTGATGAAGGAACATATAATATGAAGCAAATTATGCTTTTACACAAATAACAAGCAGATAATAAACTCTAAACAATGCAGGGTAGTGTTAACCTAAATATTGGGTAAAATGTCAAATAAGATCAATCATTCATTCATTTTCTTGTCGGCTTAGTCCCATTATTAATCCGGGGTCGCCATAGCTGAATGAACCGCCAACTTATCCAGCAAGTTTTTACGCAGCGGATGCCCTTCCAGCGGCAACCCAACTTTGGGAAACATTCACACACACATTCACACACACACTTATACACTACAGACAATTTAGCCTACCCAATTCACCTGTACCGCATGTCTTTGGACTGTGGGGGAACCCGGAGGAAACCCACGCAAACGCTGGGAGAACATGCAAACTCCACACAGAAACGCCAACTGAGCAGAGGTTCGAACCAGCTGTGAGGCGACAGCTCTACCTACTGCGCCACTGCCTCTCCCATAAAATAAAATACTAAAATAAAAAATTGTAATACATTTTATTTGTTAATTAAGAAAATTTTAAATAAAAAAGTATGGCAAAATAATAAGCAGATAATAAACTCTTAAAACATGGTGGGATGTTTTAACCTAAATTTGGGTAAATATAGTAAAACCCAGGCTTAAATTTAAAAACGCAACGGTTTGGTTTGTCCATTTTTATTTATTTATTATTTTTTGCCCAGATTTGGGTTGAAAACCAGCATTTGTTGTGTAGTAAAGGTCTTAAAAGCACAAACGCATAATAACATATGAAAACAATCAACGTAAAATAGTTCTTAATTAATAGACAACTATGTTATTTTGTTCATTGACTAAAAAAGGCCCTAATTTTCAGTATGTTTTTTTATCTAATAACGGCTGGCTTCTAGAAGTAAAAACTCTTTTTCTCCATAGGGACACAACTGCCAATAAAGCTTTAAAGGCAGATAAGTTGTGAGGTTGTTAATCACCTGAAAATGATTTTGTTGAACAAATGTGTTCACATTATTGAAACATTTTTTAAAACAATTGAGTATAAGTTCTGAGTTTTGCATCATAAAAAGTAAATACACCCTACAGAAAATTCTTATAACCCTTTTGCCTTTAGAACTGCATAAATTCAACAAGGTACTGGAAATATTCCTCAGAAAATTTGGTCCATAATGACATGATAGCATCACGCAGTTCATGATGCAAATCTCACGTTCCACCACATCCTAAAGGTGCTTTATTGGATTGTGGTCTGGTGACTGTGAAGGCCATTTAAGTATTGTGAACTCATTGTCATATTCAAGAAACCAGTCTGAGATGATTAGCGCTTTATGACTTGGTTCAATATCCTGCTGGAAGTAGCCAAAATATGATGGGTAAACTGTGGATTAAAAGGATGGACATGGTCAGCAACAATACTTAGGTAGGCTGTGGTGTTGACACAATGCTCAATTTGTATTAATGGGGCCAAAGTGTGCCAGGAAAAAATCCCCCACACCATAACACCACCACCACTTGCCTGATCTGTTTATACAAGGCAGGATAGATCTATCTTTCATGTTGTTGATGCCAAATTCTGACCCTAGCTTCTGAATGTCGCATCAGAAATCAAGACACATCAGACCAGGAAACATTTTTCCAATCTTTTATTGTCTGATTTTGGTGAGCCTGTGCTAATTGTAGCCTTAGTTTCCTCAGTTTTTTCATAAACTTATTGCACCACGTAGATTTCCTTTTGCCACTTTAGCTAATACTTTTAATTAAGTAATAAAAATTAATTTTTTATATAAATTTAATACAAATTAAGTATTTATTATGATCATTTATTTTAATGTCACCATTATGACCTTTCACCCAGAAACTTTTGTGGGTCACAGAGTTCCCCCCTGATCCCACAGTTGTTTCTAAACAGAGGCGAGAGCTAAAAACAGTTTGAGTCTGCTGTCTGTGTGAGTTTGCCGATCATTGCCTGCTGTCGGGTTATTCTGCATAAAGGTCAGCACATGTACACACACAAACACACACACACACACACACACACACCATGTGTACGTTCACGTTCTTGGATATCTTTCAAGCTGCTCCACTTTTACTATCTCCTGTGTTTGGAAACGGAGAACAGAGTTTCTCAGTATACCTTGCATTCACAAACGTCTTTCTGTTTATTTTATCAGTGGCAGAGTCTCTGTTTATAAGTAACACGTGTTCGTTCTGATAACAGGCCATGAAACTTGTCCTTTCTACTATTTTATCGGTGGTCATGTTTGCTGACTGTCCTAGCTGTTGACTTCATGCCTTAGCACACGTCTGAATGAAATAAAATATCACCTTGC